GGACTTTACCGCTGACCGCGGGGCTGCCCCGCGCCCGGGCGGCCGCAAAGCCCGCACCGGATTTACTGCGTGGAACGGGGCCCGCCTCTGGCCGGCCAAAACGCCCCCTTCCCGCACCTTCCTTATAATGCCCAATTTTCACTTTTCAAAAATATAATTACAGCTCTCCTTGGCTCCCAGAAGGCACTGCCAACTACCCCAGATAAAAATACTCTTCTCACTTTTTTTTTTCCTCTTTGCAATGCAACTGTCACAAGATAACAACCCGCTTACACCAAACCCGAAACAGCTACAATTAATAGAAAAAGATGCGTTAATGATGTCCTCAGATTTATTTCCACGAGCAATGGACTAATTAGAGTCCATTATTCCAAAAATACTCCTGCTGCATCTTATTTGATGGTAATTAGTTCTTCCGCTTTTTTTAAACAGCTCTACAGCACATTTTTCTTTCAGTAGCATAATAGAAGGGGGTTTTTTAGAAGTTTGCATTTATTTCTTCCTTTTAAATCGGTCAGTTTGCGTGGAATAACATAGAATTTAATAAAATCATCTTGTGTGTTTCATAATGAATTAGGGAAGTATTTGTTCAACTGGCTTTGCATTGTAATTCATTTCAATATAGAGTTAGGAAAGATGTCCGATAAAAAATTTCACTAGTACATTTGAGTTTGGTTTTCATTTTAATGAAAGCAATAATCACTTAAAGGGGGTGAAAGATATGGGGAATGAGTTTCCATGGGGTAATGCTCAACAGAAAGGCAGGAGAAAGATGCTGGAGCACCCCATAGGAACGTGACTGATGTCAGGGTGTGAGAGGTCAGGACATCCCACATAACCTGGACATCTCCTTGCCAGCCCTACTCTGCACTTGTAATACAGTGCTAATCACCTCACAGCTGATGCTCAAATGATTTTCATTTAGTTTCACCAAGTCCATGCAGTCACAGTGGATAAACTGGCTGCTTTGAAAGCCACAAATTCATTTTAATGCATTCAAAGTATTCAAATTAGTACCAGCTGGAGATTTGTCATTTAGACCCTTGAGGGCAGAGAACAGACCATTCAATATATTTTTTTAAAGTGTGTTATTGTTTGTACTGGTGTTGCTGTGTACTGATGCAAGCAGCATAGATTTTTGAAAACAGGGCAGCTAAAAAACTCTACACAAATTGTCAGAAACACCAGTCTAACACTGTTCCTACCAAACAGCCACCTTCTGTACCACAAGAGAAGACCAAGAGAGTATGTACAACACAAAACTGCAAGATCATACTGTGCACAGTGTGGACAGATATTAATTTCAAAGCTGAAGTCACAGAACAGATACAGAAATTCAGAATGGCTTCATCTTAGAGTGCAAACCTGTTCCTGATGAATCCCTTCCAAAGAAGAGCAAATATCTCCTTCCTGCTGATGCAGCACTTGTCTCAGCAGCAGGTACAGTTAGTCCTGTCACACGCTCACATTCATTTTAGGGCATGAAGCAAGCCAGACTCATACTGCAAATGGCCAGGGAGGCAGAGCCACACAACAAGAGTCTACAGCTTGTTTTGAAATCAAGATCCCAGAGGTGGATATCAGTCTTTCAAGCTACTGTTTAAGTATATCAATAGCTGAAAAACATCCCGGTGGTTGCATCTGCCCCCTGGAAATGTGTATGACACTAGCACTAAACTAGGAGCATCACCAGCTGAAATTGACCCTTACAGTGAGATTTTCCAATGCCTTCCAGCACTAAATGTTATTGCATCTTTCTACCAGCTCTCAACCTGCAGAACAACCTACAGAGGGATTTAAAGATCTTACTGTAACTTTACACATAACAGACTAAGTTCAAGAAACAGAGGGCAAATGTTTTTATTAAACAGTTTACAGATTTTTCTAGATTAGCATTGTTGTACATTTGTACTTACACACATGCAAGTTTTGTCTACTTTTTCTTAAAAATCTCTTTTAACTTCTGATAACATTCACCGCTACTAAGAAACCCATGAGGACCCTGCAAGTACCATAAAACAAAACACACATCTGAATATCTAGGCACCACTTTAAAATTCTATTACTTTAAAGCACAACTTGGCTCATTAAGAGAGTTAATAAGAGACTTAAGAGAGTTCATAAATGTTCAGTGAAGAAATATATTTCACATCAACACTTAAATGTACACATCTGACATGGCTAAAGGTTCCCTGTAACAGGAAAAAAAATAATTTTCCATTCTTTGTCAGACTTTTTCTGTTGAATCATTTTCTGCCTGTTTCTGCTGATACAGCTGAGTCCACTGCCTCTAAACAGCTCTGTATTGTAATAATTGCTTTGACTGTTCCCATAACAATTCCATGGACCGTGACAGTAAAGCCTGTGGTTTATGATATCACCAAATCCCTAAGAAAAATGTCAAGCTGCACTCCAGCCATCCAGGTGAAAGATCTGCTACAAGAAACCTCCTTTCTGAATTATCTAAATAGTTGAAAAACTTGTTAATACAAAACATCTACAACATCTTCAAAACACTGTCAAATTAAAGAAATGTTTAGGGATTTATCGTCAAGGTGAAGTATTTCCATTGCTATCCTCAGGGCACGGAGCAGGTCACAGTCTGCAAAAGGTCCTGGCTGTATCAACCTAAATCAGCTGCTCCAACTTCCAACATTTTTCAGCAAAAGACTTTGAGCTCTCAGGAGGTGTTGTGTTAACCTTGCTGGAAAATTGCACACCAGACTCAGCAGAGCTCTGAGGGATGTTCCTGATTTTACGTCAGTGGAACATAGAAATATGTTTATATAAAAAAATGCTTACGTGTGTGGTTGAAACAAAACCTAAACCCTCTGGTTTCTTTCCCCAGAACCGTTGTTGCAGTTAGCTGAGGGGCAGCTTTACCTACATTGTTCTCTTGGTGTCTCTCACCCTGAGCTTCAAGAGATCAGTTCTCAGGGAGAAGGAATTTCATTTTTGATTCTCCTGATTTTTTTTTTATTTCAACCGAGAATAAAAGGACAATATTGTTGCATATTGGTTTTGGGGATGACAGCTCCACCAGAAACTGCAAAACACATCAAATAACTTTTTATGTAATCCACTCAGCAGACATAGTTGTCGATTTTTGTGCACTGTCTCAATATGTCTGGGATTTTTTATTAATACAAATAAAGGCAGAGGTGTGTGTTGAACAATCCACAGCCCTAGAATGCTAGATCAAGGCTGCTGGCATCAGATGGAGCAGCCTGCTTTTTGTGGTCTGGCTTGGACCTGCTAAGAATTACCATAACAGTTTTCATACCAGCTTATAATAAAATATTTATGTCACTTTATTAAAACCAAAAGACTCGTGAACCCTGCTTCAAATGTGGACTGGGACAAATGTTAGTGTATTTAACTGCTCAACGAGTTTTTCTTGGGGCTATTTTCTCATTAATCCACTTTACATAGTTTGTCACTCTTGTATATACTCCAGGTTTGTTGACTCTGCCACAGCCATC